CCCCAAAACCCCAAAACCCCAAAACCCCAAAACCCCAAAACCCCAAAACCCCTAAGTTTATAAAATAAATTGAAATTGATTATGTATACCAGGAATAACATTCTTGATGATGGTATAGGCTTTGAGTCAGTATTTAGATCACTCCTGAGCACTTAATAATGCTAAAAATCCATTTTCAAACTCTCTCCTGAAGTTTGGGAACTGGAAAAATATTTTTGTCCCCAATGCGATAGAGGAGATATAACTCTTCCCTATGAGAATGTCAAAGGAGGAGAGAATTTTATCAATATAATAACTAAATTACGAAATCGACATTCAAGATCTTACAGTCATGCTGATCCAGGTACTCATCTCCTGAGATTCCTTCTAATCGCAAACTTGTAGACCGAAATTCTAAATATAAAGCTGCTTATACCAAAGAGTAAGAGAATTCTAATGCCTAGTGCATCCCAAGAGTATACTGATGGACAGAATATTTACATAAAACTCTCTCATAGCGTAAGCTAGACTGGAAACCAGCTTGACATAGACAGAGAAGTTAAGGAAGACACCAAGAGGCCTAAGAGGTCACTCTAAAGGCACAAGCTGCTCTCCCAAAGCACTTAAGTCATTAATAAACCAAGTAATAATTTTTGAAAATTTGTAGTCAACCAGAGAGGAAATTGATCAGAAGAATAAATTTATGCCTATGAAAACGCAGATTACAAATGCGAGTAGAAGGTCGAATTCCAATAGTAACATAAGTAATCCAGAATAATAATTTATAGAAATTTTAAAGCCAAAGAAGCGGAACCATACACAAATCGGTACTGGGTGTTCATAAAGTGTATCTAGTCGGTCAGCAGTTTCCAAACAATCGGCTGTTTAAAGATATTGGGCAGACATTTGGTGACCGAAAGCCCACCGTCATAAATCTACTTAACTTGATCAAATCGTCTCAAAGAAAAATGTACACTAATTTCCCTTACTTTCAAGCATTTGTGATACAGTTATTGGTTTATATTATTACTCTTATTTTGGCTGAGCCCAGGTAGGGACTAACTAATTTTAGCAAAAAGAGACAACCAGAGATTTGAAAAATCAGTCAATTAGGAAGCAACAAAACTTATGAATCTGATCACAAGAATAGTTTCAGTATCGAGAACTGCTATACTCAAACAAAAGTAAATATTAGTAAGGCTTCTGGTTAATTATAGAACATCGAAGGTCTCTCTCAAGGAGAAATATTGACTATGCTCAAAAACGAAGGTAAGCCCAGTGCCCTTAATATAGTGTCTGCACTGAAACAGAGCATTTTGGACAAGCTCTTGTTCCTAAGAAGCCTATTTTACACAATAACAATTCATTCCAAGACCTTACTCAATTTAAAGAAAGCAAAAGAGAGAAAAATCAGCCTGTTTTTAAACGAAAATTAGCAATAAAATCATTTAAAATGCCTCTGGATGTCCAAAAACTCATGTGTAAGAAGATAACCAAGCTAAATATCACCAAAGGGTATAATGGCAAAGATCTACAAAGGATACTCCACAGAAAAATTATGTCATAAGTTTTTTATTTTGTACTAGAACTGGGGTTTTGGGGTTTTGGGGTTTTGGGGTTTTGGGGTTTTGGGG